CATTTGTAATGTCTGACTGGGCCTCATGCCTCTTTATGTGCAACAAATTGGGCCAAAAGGTCAAAAAGGTTAAGAACCCCTGTTTTAGAGAATCAGTTTGTTCTTGTGGTTTTGAAAGTTGAAGAAAACAGTCGAGTTGCATTTTACAAAAAAAAACTTCATTGACCCTTTCTCCTGTCAGTTGTTTAACTCCACCTCCTCTCAACTATAAAATAATTTAGTTCTTACACAGTTTAGGCACTCTGTCTGCATAAACCTGAAATAATTATCCAGTGAAGTTTTTAAATCAAACACTGCCACTTCCTGTTGCTGTGACTTTATATTTGTTTTGATAGTTTTGTAAATGTTTTGTGTTTTGGCCTCTCTTTCCATCGGTCCAGCTGGTGCAGGCCCTCGGTGTGGCCATCTACCGAGCTCTGGACTGGGGACTGGATGACAGCGAGGAGAGGGAGCTCAGCCCGCAGCTGGAGCGCCTCATCGATCGAATGGCTAGCGGAGACCCGAGCGAAGAGGGCAACAGCAACGCCAGGAACGGCACAACGGACGAGGGGTACAGTGGGCAGGAGGAGGAGGAAGAGGAAGAGGAGCAGGAGGGCGTGTTAAGGCCGGTTTGTACGTTCCGTCAGGTGATGGTGCTCTGCGCCTCCCGTCTGGCCAACCCGAGTCTGGCTCCGGAGCACTACCAGGCCGTCTGCAGGGCTCTGTTYGTGGAGACTCTGGAGCTGCAGACCTTCCTCATCAAAATCAGAGATGCAAAGGAGGTTTGTTAAGTTTTCACTCCTCACTCACTCAGATAAGGTTAAAACAAGAAGAACTAACTGAAAGAATGAACTAAACAGAGGAAATTTTCCTCCTCAGCAATTAGAAAATACAAAGCTTTACTTTCATATGAAATAGCATTTATAAAACTTTGTTTGCACAGATGCTGAAGAAGATTTCAAGCGAGGAGTCTCTGGAGGACAGGTCCRCAGCCGAGCTGGACGCACTGAAACACAGAGACTGGGTGAGACGAGCCGACACTCGGAGAACAAAACAACCAAGTGTTTGACCGGAGAAGGCAGAGTTGTCACGCTCACAGATGCAGATGAGTTGTTTATTTATTTATTTATTGTTCCTCCTCCAGGCTCATCTGTGGGTGCAGCTGATGAAGGAGCTCAGGCAGGGAGTGAAGCTGAAGAAGGTCCAGGAGCAGCCGTTTAACCCCCTGCCCACCGAGTTCAGCCTCACGCCGTTCGAGATGCTGATGCAGGACATCCGAGCTCGCAAGTTTCAGCTGCGCAAAGTCATGGTGAGAGTCCTGATGGAGCTCAAATGTTCAGATATTCAGCCAGCGCTGCGCTCACTGAAAACTGTTTTATCTCGAGAAAAACAAGTCCYGACACCTGTCATGTCAGAGTTTAGATTAAGATGTTAAAAAATGGGCTTAAACCTTGTAAATTATGTTAYACAGAATCTGTTAGCACTTTAAGTACGTGTTAATAATGACTCCCAGCGACTTGAATTAGTTGTACATTTCCAAAGATTACTTTTTAAAGTTTTGTTAGTTTGTTCAGTGGTTCACTAAATATTTCAGTTATTGCTGTCTGCCTTCGCTTTTCTGTTTCAGGTGACAATTAGATGAAGTGAWAAATATGTTGAGGGCAGATGAGGGTGATGAAATGTGTAAAAGTTTAAATGTAATGCATTTTAGTAGTAAAAACAGTTCATCTGTAGACACTGAAAACAGGTGGAATGTCCATTAAGAGATGATTTGAAGGAAACATRCGCTAAATCCACATTTTTAGCTGTTAAATACATTTTGTTGTGTATTTGGAATCTCTAGGAGTGCAAATAATTTGAATTTAGTCTCTCCTGGTACTGCAGATATACTGTCTCTTTCTATTTTGTTTGGGTCATATTTTTTGAAGTTTTCTCTATTTTCTATGATATTTTCTGAGACGATTATGTCAAATTATCTGCAACGGAATTACCAGCTACAATTTCCTCATCTTAATTCTGCTCTGGTTCTGGGTCAGACTCTGGTTCTGGGTCAGACTCTAGTTCCAACATGTAAGGCTGGATGAACAAGTCTTCTGTTGCTGACATCTTCTATGTAAATTGTAAATAATACGTTTTTGCAAGCTATAAAACGTAACCCCCTCTCAAACTGGAGAGGGGCGGGGCTTGAAGCTTCTTAAAGAAACAGTAACAAAACCAGCTGTTTTGAGGCACATATGAGAAAAGTTGTGGAAGAGGGGCTGGTGAAGTTAGAATAAGAAGGAATTCAGACCAAAGCCTTGTAGTTCTGCCTTATAAAGACCCCAACTGAATGATTTAAATATGAAAAGAAAGGATTTAAAAGCAGGATATGTCTACTTTAAAGCAGCGATTCTCAAATGTTTAGCTCCTGACCCACAAAATGATTGTGACCATATTCATCTGTTGTTGATTTAAATATACACAAATACTACTAATAATCTAAATAAACACAGACATAATGACAACATAAACATCCACAATGTCATTTTTTTTTCATTTCTGACTATTATTTTTATCATTATCATTGTAAAGATTTGTCACAAATAATTTTTAAATGTAAGCTGCTTCCTGTAGATTATCTAAGGACTCCCACTTGTTGTTTTGGGACCCTCATTGGGTTCCCCCGACACAAAAATATAGTATGTGATTTATTTATTTATTTGTTTGTTTGTTTGTTTGTTTCAATGGTTAGACTCTGAATAGAAGTGACATGTTCTGAGCAACAGGGTCCTGGATGAAGACATAATAAAACAGAATTTCTCAGCAGGCAGCAGAAGGTTGTCAAAAACAGCCAGAAGAGCCAAGTGTAGGATGAGATGTGAGGAGGAAATAACACAAAAGACTGTCAGAAAACCACAGGGTTTTACAGATATTTAAAGAACTGGCTCGYATCTTTCTTATTAAACTTTAGCAACTGTCAGCCGTTAATAAATACTAATAAATTTGTTGATTCAGATCAGTTAAAGTTGCTGTTTTTTGACGAGGTTCAGATGAGGCAGGAGGATTCTGGGTGCAGACAGGACCGAGACATAGAATTTATTTATTTATTTTTTACTTTTTTACTTTCCAGGAACTTATCCTGTGTAGGCTTTTTACAGAAAGAAAATGTTCCGAGCCAGTGTCAGGCTTGTGGCAGAGAGCAGCCTCTCCACAGTCACTTACATTATTCAGACTYACAAACAAAATATTAATGACTTCTTTTTTTTACAGTCTTCAGTTGTTTTTTGCCGCTTCTATATTAAAATAAAGTCATACCACAAGAAACAATAAGATGTGAATAATGTTGCTTCTGTGTGATTTAAATAACCTAACATGTTAAATCAGCTGCAGTTCTGTGTTCTGTTTTAACCTTTAAAATAAGACCCGAAGCTTTAATTTTCTGACATTAATGACTATATTGGGATATTTTTACATAGATTTTGACACAGTGCAGAGGTTTGAGTTTAGTTTGTTTCTTTTTTTTAGGTGGATGGTGACATTCCTACCAGAGTGAAGAGAAATGCTCATGAACTTATACTGGACTTCATTAGATCCAGACCTCCGCTCAAACCGGTGAGTTAAAGTGTTCTTATACGTCCACAAAGTGACTCATATGTTTAATATCCTGTAAACAAGTCCAGGTCCGAACTCTGTTTGCACATAAATAAATAATTTGGCCTTATGGCACCAGGAGAAGCTTCTTTTTTTAAAACCTGTGGATTTGTGCTCTTATTTCTTGACACRCTAGGTTTCAGAGCGCAGCCTTCCCCCTCCGCCCCCGCAGCAGCAGTCCCTCCACGACCGGGTCCTGGCAGAGATCAAGCAGGAGAGAAAACTCAGACCGGTGGCGCCACACAGCACCAGATGTAACAATCAAACTTTTCTAAGTTCGTATAACTGATATAAAGACTTTTTATAAAGATCTGGGATCCACACCAGTGATGAGTCAGAGCCATGTTGGTAGTAAAACAACTWCAGCTCCTCACACATGAAATCAATTCATGAAAGACCGTGAACAATCTGTTAGAGACGTGACTCGACTACAGCACAAATAAGGCTTTATCCTTAAAATTATGTTAATTTTTGTCTAACAAACATAATAAAAACATTAAAGTTAATACAAATCTAAACCTATAAGAAGATGTTGCAGATCCTGAGTATCTTCGTGCTCCTGACTAATTTCTCCTCCCCTCTGTTCTCTCCTTTCTCAGCCTTTGGCTCTCTGCCCTGTCTGGCTCAGATGTGTCCTTGTAACGTCAAATCCACGTCATGCATCGACCTGTCTGTGTCAGAGCCCCGGCCGCCACCCCGTCCTCGCATCCTGCTCAAGGCCCCGACGCTGGCCGAGATGGAGGAGATGAACTTATCTGAGGTGGGCTCCAATACTGAGATTAAGGTTTCTGTGTTTGGCTGTTTTACAGCCTGAATTCATTCAGTTTGCTGTGTGGGATCGCAAGTGAACAAAAGGGGACGAGCAAAGCTAATATGATAATATTTTACTTAAGTACAAATAAAACTACCATAATATAAATCAARTCAAAGTATTTAATTTTAAATGAGCTCAAAGTAAAAGTTACCTTTTTAACAACAGGAGAGTGTCTCTTCTTCGCAAAGAACAAGAGGAAATAATAATCTAAAACTAGCTGTCTTAAATTAAAAGAAAATGCAAAACACTTCTTCAGAATGGTAGAAAAAAATTAAACTAGAGGATGAAAACTTAAAAATAAAAGCCTTGGAGATCATAGAAGCTACTAAAAACAAAACTAAGAGGCAATAAAGCAAACAGGAAGTGACAGAGAAGCATTTCCCTGCACTGCGTCGTACTCTGACAAGATCTGGATGAGACTCCCTCAGACTCAGGAACAGGATCTGGCAGCCTTTCTGTGGACCCCCTAAGACTCAGACACAGGATATACATTAGAGGCATCCTGTAAGACCCTCCGTCRACGTCTTTGTGTTGATCTGTTGAATCAAATCTCTGTAAAGTTTCTGGTTGTAACAGAACAAATCAAGTCAGCAGATTCTCATTTCTTGATTCATTCAGATCCTTTTTTGTTTTTGTTTGTGTTTTTCTGGTTATGTCTTACATTGAAAAATGATGCATTTTAGTCCAAATCAGCATWGATCAAAACCAAAGTGTGACGTTAATTTATCTTTTCCACCCTTCTGCCCTCGACCCCTGAACCACAACAGGAAGAAGAGTCTCCAGACCATGGAGACCTGAGGAGGACAGAGAGCTCCCCCACACCCCTGAAGAGAGACCGGTCCTTCTCAGAGCAGGACCTCGCCTTACTCCGAGGGGACGTGCTTCCGTCTCTGTCACAGTCGGCCCAGCTGGGTGARACCATCAGACTGCGGGACATCAGACCCAGGTCCAGGACGTTGACTGGTGCCGGGCCTCCACCTTACCACAGAGGTCTCACTAATTATTCCTCACCATATAATATCTGAGATCATCAGAATACCTCATGTCTGCTGTACATCCAGAAAACCTTTCATTAATGTTAGGAAGTTAGAGAAAGAGATCTCTATTTCAGATCTATTTAAATAACAGCAGTCGAGACTGAAAATATCATCATTTTTTACATATCCTGTTATTAAATCCTTACCAAACATCTGCAGCTCGTTGAAGTGCTGCAGCCTTTCAGTTTGTCTGAAAGGAAGATGATTGAGCAGACAGGTTATTCAATCTGCCATTTTAATCGTCCTCTTCTCGAGGGACACCAAGTACCTTTTCTTTGCAGAGTGCAGATCTTTGAAAAGCAGATCCAAAGTGATACTGAAGTCTGCAGAGGCACATAAAAAATGGCTGTACTGTAGGTGGTGTGGCTGATAAAAATGATCTGATTTTATCATAATTAAAAGGTAAAAGATGTCACAAGAAAGCAGATTTCAAAATACAGCTAAATAAAGCAAAATACAGTAATAGTTCTGGTTTATATTTGTAAAACCATATTTTACTGTAATTTAAGTATGTTTTATTTATTTTTTTTTATTTCAGTATTTGGACATGCATTTCCTCTAGCCTCCACCAGGGGGTTCTGTAGCAGCTTTATCCCCCATTTAGTTGAAAATTTTCTAATAGACATGAGCACAGCATGAAAATGTGAACATTAAACAGATAAATGTGCATTTAACTTCTCATATGAGCCTTTTTAGAATATTAATAATAATTGATTAAATTAATAATAATAATTATTAATAAACAACTTTTTTAACATTTCTGCTTCTTTTGCCTCAAGGTATAGAAGGAAACCAGCAGTGCAAAAACGTCTCAAAAAATAGAAGATGTTTGTTCATTTTTTAATCCTCTACACAAATGATGCAAGGGTTTTAGAGACATTATGTCGCCACTACATCCAGCCKTTGCTTCAGGCACAAATCTTATTAAATTACTGTTAGCTCAGTGAAATAAGAGCTGTGTCTGTCTCCGGTGATGCAGCACCTCAGGACTGAAGGTTTACAGGGATTCACATCAGCCACAAAGCTGTCGAGAGACTTCTGATGGATTCTAATTTGATATAAAGATGTTACGATAAAGTCTGRCTTGGTGATGGAGAGTAGACACAGAAGTGTGGGATGCATGAAGCAGGGTTGGGCAAAATCGTATTGTGTGCAGTTAATCGTCAGAAAAATGGTCAACAATCAATATTTACCACTTTACAATTACTGCAATTAGTGCCACGTGATGATGTATTTTTGTGTGCGATGCACTTTCACTATCAAGCGAGCATGTGATAGTGTAGGATAGTGTTACTTAATATATGCTGCCACTCCACATCGTGGAAAAGTGAGTTTCAATTCATTTTTATTAATTTAACCTGTTAAAATTAAGGAGTTTTGTTTTTGCAAGAATATTTTAACTGATTTAGWGTCAAAAACATGCAAGTGTAATCGTTATCTACTAATCATTATTAGCTAATTGACACAATTAATCTTGATTAATTTTTTTGCCAATATCGCCCAACCCTAGTATGAAGTCTGTGCACAGGACGTTATCTGCTGGATGGCTGTCTGTGTGGAAAAGCTAACTCCCAGCCTTCCCAGCCTGCAGTCCACCGAGCAGCACGACTCGGGTTTTAAAGCTGAGTTATTGGTAGGATAAAGGCTCATTATGTAGTACCCGACTCTGCCAACAGGGGGCTCCTGTGCCTAAGCTGTGTCTGCGTGAGGATGTAAGCTGCTAAACCCCAGCTGTCATGAGCAGCTGATCCAAATTATATGTACAGATGATGTTTACTGGCCCGTTCCAGCCTCCCCCTCAGTCTGTTTACTTCCATTAGAGCCACGTTGACACCTTGCACTTGCAGGCCGGACGAGGCACCCGGGTTTAGCCATGTGTGGACTACAGAGTTACAGCAGAGCTCTCAGTGCGATCTAAGTTACAGATGTATCAGCACGAGACGAACCTCTGTCCTGGAATCAGATTAATAATACATGACTGCATTAGAGGCGATCGACAAACGCTCTTAGGGGCTGAGATGTGAGACGAGGCTGAATGAAAGGAGCTGATGTGTAATTCATGGACTTGTTAGGCTCGGATTTGAGGCTTTTTCTCGTTCGCTCTCGGCCACGCTCATTTGATACGTCCTTATTTAATTCATTATTTCCCTTTACTGACTTTTAATCCATTTCCATGTTTCCAGCCTCCTTTCCAGTTCATGGCTGGGTGCCGCCATCTCCCGCCCGCCTGTCTCTGAGTTCAGTCGACGAGGCCACGGAGGGGCCAGAGTCAACACCAAGCTCCAAAACTGGAGACCAGTGGATGGTGAGACGAGATCAGCCCATTTATCTGCAATTTTACAGCATGTTCCTAAAATTTAACCTCTGGAAATAAATGATTCCTACTTGAAAGTTTCATTAAGTTCAGTGGTTCACAAGATAYTTTGTCAACAGACAGGCACACAGGCACGGTCCAAATCATTATGACCAACGTTTCGGCTGTGAGAGACAAGTCTTGCACCATGAACAGCTGAAGAAACCTTTAGTTTGCTGCACTTGTTGGATTGATGTTGTGTTTCTGTTTGCATTCAGAGTTTTCTTGTGTTTTTAATGTTTGTTTTGTTTTGCTCAGGAGGAGTTCAGCCATCCTGTGGAGAGTCTGGCCTTAACGGTTGATGAGGTCATCAATGTGCGCCGAGTGCTGGTCAAAGCAGAGATGGAGAAATTCCTTCAGAGCAAAGAACTCTACAACAACCTGAAGAAGGGGAAGGTGTGTGTTTCCTGCCCGGCTGTACTCTCCGAGCTGCTGACAGTAAATCCACTCAGTTTCTCTGTTTCCTCAGGTTTGCTGCTGCTGCAGAGTCAAGTTTCCTCTTTTCTCCTGGCCGTCTACTTGCTTACTGTGTAAAAGGTACCAGACAACTTTCACTGGACCTCCTGGGAGGTTTTAGATTCACTTCAGCTTTAAAAGAAACTTTAAAGTCTGTGTTGGAGGATTGATGTTTCAGGTTTTTTACACTTTAAATGTTCAAAAACTGTCAGTAAAGTTTGTTTTACATTATGAAATTATCCTGTAACAACTTCAAGTTTTTATGTTTTAGTTTTAAATCTAATCTTATCTAATTTCCCTTTGGGATTAATAAAGTATTTTTGAGTTGAATTAAATTGAATTCAAACTCAGGTTCACTGTTTCTATATTTTCTACTAAAACAAAATTAGTTCATTTTTTTAGTTGTGTTGCACAAACGGGGGGACGGTTTTTAAGACAAATTTGTTCATTTTTGAGTGAGAATGATAAAATTATTTTACACAAACTGAGTCATAAAAAACATCTTCATTAAAATAAAATGTAAACATTSCTACAGGCACAGGTTATGTGAATTAAAAGCAGAAAGTTGGACATAACAGTTAAAACAAATCTTAAATATTTCCTTTTGGTATTAAACTAAACTGAGAAATGTATTTGTTTTTCTTTCTCCCACAGGTCAGTCTGCAGCTCCTGCAGTGCAAAGGTAAATTCACACATTTGGCTTTGTTCAATTATTATTTAATTGTATTTTTATATATATATATTGTGTGCCATATCATGTCTGTGTTTTAGTATAATTACAAATAAATGATGCAGAAAACAAAYTGATTTGTAATAGATGAGATATTAATTGGGTATCTGTGAAGCCTTCCTTTAGTTTTTATCACAAATGATTGATTACATATTTGAATTATATTATATTATATATTTATAAGCTTATTGTAAATTCATATAAATATGGATTTTGGTGTTTTTTTTTTACCTCCTGTCAGGCTGGCTTCTTTGTTGACCTCACGTTTTCTGTTGTTTTGCTGGTTCTGATTTGTTGCTTCAGTCCCGACCCGTGTTGGATATGTGTTTCTGTAGGTTTGAATTTGTGCTTTTATTTTTAATTTTTTGTTTTGTGTGGTGTGTGTAGTGCTGTGGCTCATCTGTGTTGTCAGATCATTGTTTATTGAGACGTGTTTGTTTTTTGTTAGTTTGTGTCATTTATGGAAAACATTGTGTTTTAAATCAATTTGTCGTCCTCAGTCTGTATTTGTGAAAGGATCTTCCTGTTCGAGCCGAAAGTTTGACCGATTTCTTCTTCTTCTTCCTCCTCTCCTCCAGATGAAGATTCCCTCCAAAAAGATGGCCCATATTCCTGTGTACACTGTGGGCTTCCACACWGCACCAAAAAGTCACGGACACAAAACCCAAGTCTACAAGTGAGTCTTTTCTTTAGCAAGTACAAAGTTGAAATTTACAATAAAAACCAGAAAAGATGTATTTTATTTTTACCCTGGTTTCTGTCAAAACAACTAAAAATGCTCAAAACAAGACTCTTTTGTTGCTGAACTGAAGTTCAAAGGTTTAAAATTTGAAGTGAGCCCCTCCCTCAGTGACTTTCCTTACTTTAGCAGAAACATCTCTCGTGTCTGAAGTTCTCCTCAATCCAATCACACCCCCACCCCACCCCTCCACCACTCCCTCATTCTTCTTCTGTTATATAATCACCTCCTCCGGGCCTCTAAGCAGCCTTTATGTAATAATTACCCAGCTGTCTTTGTAAAGATGGTTGACAGCCAGTTGGAGGGAAATGGAGCGTGTGCTGATTTGGTGTTGTGTTTACCTGCCGACACCTGTCATCAAGACCTAAAGATGCAACCAGAAGAACACAAATGTGTTTTATAACAGCTAATATTAAGTGTTATTTAAGCACAAGAACTGACCTTAATCTTCTCATTAGTGACGGCCGTGCTGCTGCTCGTGTTGGGTTTATATGTTCGTCTCTTTAAATAAGCTGAAGATTTTGTGCAGMTTTTTTTACCCAGATGTTTGGCTGATTTACAGATGAAAAGCGTTAAGAGGGATTTTTGTGCAGCAGCTTCTGTCTCATGGTTTGTCTGCAGATCCCTGCGAAGGCTAACCCGCTGCTCGGTGGAGGAGGAGTTCCCGCACCTGTACGCCAACGGCTGCACGCTGCGCGACGTCTGCGCCGAGTGCACCAAGTTCGTCGTCGACGTCATTTCCTCCAGCCGCCGGAGCCTGGACATCCTGAACAACACTCCAAAGAAGGAGGCCGTCCCCGCTCAGAGACCACAGCTGCAGCGTCAGTCCAACGTCGAGGCTTTCCCTCACCTGTCCGCGCYGCACCACCCTCAACACAAACAGCTCCACGCGTCCTCGCCGTCCCCCTCGCCGCAGCTCCACCGCGCGGAGACGATCAACAGCGTGAGCCACTGAGTGGATCAGACACTTTGTGCTGTACCGACCACACTCTGCACACATTTAGACAGACATCTATAATCCAGTAAGGTGCTTTAAAGTTAATTTTGCTGGATTGAAGCATTAAATGTATCATTTATTACGTCGTGTTTAGATCTAAACACAGTTTCTGAAGCTGTTTAGAACCGTTTTTATAGAGAGAATTTCCACGTCTGCTTTGCACAGCTGCATTATCTTCCAGATCTGTTCACTTCTAAAGGTTTAAGAAAGAAGCTCTGCGTCTGCTACGATGTGAGACCGAGGGCGGAGCTGAACTCGGACACTTAGTTTAACATCGCAGCTCTGACTGTTTTGGTCATGAATGTAAGTTTGTAAAAGCTTGTACACAACAGAACAATGTTGATTTTTATTATTATTATTAT